CAAGTTGCGCACTCAAGTTAAGTGGCACTTCTGATGTTTGTGCGTGTGTACAACGCGCACAATGCTCTCGCGTCATCATACAATTAGTTGTGAATCGTGTTTGACACTCCCGCGCTACCAGCTCTTGTATGCGCAAGCGTAACGTCTGTGTTGACTCATTTGCGCCGCTGAGCTCAACACCAAAAACACAGCTGACGAAAGCATCGCTGGCATAGCGTGTACAAAGCCCTTGTATATCAAGTGTTCCATCATCACTTTGGTCAACTATTTCGGAATTGCTAACCAAGCTCTTAGCTGCTCTAATTACTGCTGGAAATATTTCACTCATCTTAGCTGACCAGAAGCAAGGCGTGAGTTTGCGTCGCATCGTCTGCCATTCAGCGTTTTCGAGTGCATATAGCAATTCTTTGTTGCTGGATTGATTGTCCGTACGATCAGCGAAACTTGAAAAATCATCGATCAACACGCGTTTTATCAGCTCCAAGTCGATTATAATAACTGCAGGTGTGGTTTGTAGAAATATTCCCGCGATAGGCGTGTTTCCTTTGAAGCGCTTGTAGGCGATGCGCAGTAGCTCTATTGTATCACGCTGTCGGCGTAGGATATCAGGTGGCAAATGTGGTATGCCGCGACGCTCAAAGTAGCTCAATTTGTAGCGGTAATATGAATAGATCAACGAGATGGGTATGAGTAGCCCAGAAATGGTTATCGCCAAGTGCCAAGCCATTTGAGTTTAGTAGCACAACTTAATAAAAAATGAATTACTGGTGGAAGAAATTAAGATTTTTTTTAGACCGTTTAAACCCACTTTCACGAAAAGAACTAAATGTCAACTAACGTGACTTGTTTGCTAAGAATGCAGCTATTCTATTAGAAATCTTCGCTATTTTAAAATTTGTTTACGACTTTCGCTGTTTTGCTGATCTCATAGACTGGATTAGTGAGTGCTTGTGAGAGTAAAGGTAAATTTAAGAGCCTAAAAAAGCTCGAGTAGTTACATGTACTCTTCTAAGTAAAGAGTGTGGAAGAAAGAGATATTGATAGAGCATGTACATACATATGTACATATGATCGATGGGTTTTCGTATTAACGTACAAGCATTTGGTTACCGATTTGAAAAGTTATTCGCAAAACGGTGAAAGTAATTTTTTGGTCTTTGCCGATGAGCAGGCTACCACTGCCTCGCAGGCGGATTAAAGTATACTACTAGTAGGTGACAAGCCGCCATTAGTGATGACCAATTGTAGGCCTCTGTTATGACTAAATTCGGAATTGAGAAAACTTAAGTATTTGAAAACTCGGACCTCTTAGTTCTTTGAAGCTATTTTAGAAGAGCTAAGAGTTTGCTGGAATAGGCAAAGCCACAGGACCACAGGTATACCACAGGTGGCACTTCTTCCAACCAACCAACCAACCATCCAACCAACCACCAACGGATTAAAGTCTACCGTTGATGATTCGAAAAAAGGCAAAAAGTCCGAAAACTACCGATATAAGTCTCAAGTAAAGTACCGAAAAAACGTCAAAAAGTTAATCATAGGCACCGAAAAAAGTGCGAAAAATCTTCAGAGGTCTCGAAAAAAAACCGTTACAAAACCAAAACAAAATATAAACATTTTTAAAGGTCTCCAGTAACCCCAAAAGAGCTCTAGCAACCAGAAAAGTGTATAAGTTCGGAAAAGCTGCGAATTAATTTTTGTAGCATTTCAAAAATCCGATACAAAATTTCTATATGCCCCGAAATCACGCAAAACTCCCAAAAGACCTTGAAAAGTTTTGACAAACCCTGAAACCGCAAGAAAATTCCGCAAAGCTCTGCTGTATACATATGTACCTAAGTATTTATTTATGTACTTACTTAAAATTTGGAAGGCTTTCATAACTAAGCAGGTTGAAAAACTGAATACAACCACTAAGGAATTCCTATCTGTTAAAAAGGCCATTATGAAGATTTTGTAATTTTCGCGTAAAAATTTTAATAATGTCTTACTTACGCGTAAAATTTATCCTTAATGACATTTTAAAGATTGAAAGCTTAATAGAGCGAATGAGTGGAGCATTGAAAACGAGGCGCAATTATCTGTGCCGCCTGCGGTTACTGTTGAATCGTTTCGCCCACACTTGCCACCATATTAAATGTATGTATGTACATGTACATACATATGTGTATATGAAATGTCAATTATTGCTGCATAATTCATGGCGTATTTAGTTGAAAAGCTTAATGCACAATTTCGTAATTGCACACACTAACAAATATCGATTGTATGTGGCCCAGCTGCAATGCGGATGTAATGAGCAAAAACTTAAGACTTTCTGAGAAATGAAAAAGCAAAGGCGAAGATATGTAAAAGCAAAAAAAAAAAATGTCAAAGGTGAAAAGTTTCGAGTGAATGTGCAAATGAAAGCTCATGAGTATGTGATAATATGCTGCCTTTTTCAACTGTACTGTACGCTAAATACCCCTTTGAGAGCACTAAATGCGCTGCTGCATGCTCGGCTTACTTTCCCTTTGCCGCAAAGTGTCACTTTCCAAGCGCATCCGAGTTCTTTTCTGGCGCCTTGCAAATTTTTCGGCAATTAACAAATTACAATGTGCAGTGCTTTGAGTTTCCACAAAATTTCAAGCATATACTAACTCACTCACAAACAACAAATATGTATGTATGTGTTAGTCGGCTGTGGCACATGTGTTGCCACAAAAAGTATCGTTTGTGTTGGCGTTTCCTTTGTGCAAACACCCAACGGAAGTACTTAGTGCTCGAGTGGTTCTTAAATTTTCATTGAAGTGCTGTTTGCTACGAGTAGACATGAGACAATGAGTACGGCAGTTTGTAGAATAACAAAAACAAATCTACTACATGGCAAAGCGTAATTGTGCAGACTTCAGCAATTAGACAGTTTATAAAGCACAAATAGGTGGGCCATACCCTGCAAATATCGCAACAACTCCATGGACACATGTAAAGAGTACTCCCTAAGGATCAAGGAGTACTCCAAAATCAATCACAATTCATATCAAAAATGTGATCCAATTAATATTGCGATGTCCTAGGGCAGGACCATGGAATATCTAACTCTTGGCTATACAGTCCAATAAACATTGTGTAAGCATTACGATAGTTGAGACACGAGCATTGATCGGATAACAATAAGCTGGTATAGAGACACGAGTCGGACTGCTACAGCATTACAGAGGAGCAGTTTGTAAGTACTCAAATGCAGCACTAATAGACCACATGGTCCAACGATTTTTGTATGTACTTACTTAAATATGTATGTACATACTTGTGTATGTATGTCTGCAGATATTTGTGATAATGCCTGTATGTCGAAATTTTTGAGGAAATCACACATCCACCTGTTCAAGCCCACGCTCAATTTTTAACATGCTCTTTTTGCTGCTCATTTAATGCAGGAAGTAAGTATGTGTGTTCGTGTGAATGTGCGGATATACATACATACATATGTACATAGATGGTCCTTAAATAAGTTAACAGACTTTTGTTTTCGTTAAAGTTTTCGTTTTCGCTGAAGTTTTTGTTGTTTTTTTCCTTTTTTCTTTGACTCCTTGCCAAATGTAGACGAAGAAAATTCTATTTTAATGGAAGCCTTTGTCTTACTTGTCTGCTTCAGCAGAAATGTATAGAGAAACGTTAAAAATATGAACTGTGCACAAAGGGGGGAAAAATATTATTTTGTTTTTATGAAAATTACTGCAGTGGTAAGCATATGTTGTGAACATGGAGGTGACGCGTGTGCCTCTTGTTGCAAATAATGTAATTTTGTTCTATAGTTTTATTAATATTAATTAAGAGATTTTAGTTACTTTTTATGTAAAAAAAAAATCAACTAAAAAAGGTATAAAAAAAAATTATTATATATCGGAAGCACAACAGATCAAATCAGATCAACGAACATGGGCTTAAAAAAATAAGAAATGCCTTCTAGAGTTAATAAAAAAAAATTTAAAGACTGTTTAAATATATTTGTTAATTAAGAACAAGTTTTTTTTACATA